TCAGCTTTCCAAAGATGTGATAAACCACAGTTAATTTATGTTTTAACAGGGGGGGGGCAATCACTTTTTCACACAGGGCCATGTAGGTTTGGATTTTTTTTCCCCCTTCATAATAAAAACCTTAATTTAAAAACTGCATTTTGTGTTTACTTGTGTTATCTTTGTCTAACATTTAAATTTGTTTGATGATCTGAAACATTTAAGTGTGACAAACATGCAAAAAAATAAGAAATCAGGAAGGGGGCAAACACTTTTTCACACAACTGTAAGTAGGAAGACGATGTTCAGACAACAGCAACATGTGTGCACTGTTTGGTGTCTGATACTGGACCTCCTGGTCTCACCTGAACCTGCTTCTATGTTTGGTACATTGATGTGATAAAAGTGAATTTGTTTAATCCCTCTCCTCATTTTCTAGACCATGAACACGGACACGACCACCACGGTGACCACAACATCTCGGCCCACGGCCACGAACGCTCCGCTGGAGAAAGTGCCAAAAACATCGCGATAGGTAAGACGGTGAAAGACTCAAGTCTGTGATTGGAGAGAAGTTTGTGGAGAAGTTAAGTGATTTGTGCATTGCAGCGTGGGTCGGAGGGTTCCTCTCCATCACGGTCATCAGCCTGCTGTCTCTGCTCGGCGTGGTCCTCATCCCGCTCATGAACACCGTCTTCTTCAAGTTCCTCCTCAGCTTCTTGGTGGCGCTGGCGGTCGGCTCGCTGAGCGGCGACGCCTTCCTTCACCTCATCCCCCACGTGAGTCAGAGCGCCGCCCGCTTCCTCTTTACCACGGGACGAAGCACGTCCTCCCGTCACCAGCATGTCGGGGTCACAGTTAAAGTTCTGTCCTGACCCAAGATGCGAAGCATGTTGACCCGCTGAACCCCTAAAAAAACGCCTCGCGGTATGGAACAGCATGTTTTCTTTCAACAATCGCCAAAACTACACCGTATCGTCCTTATCGTCATTATCGTCCGATTATCATCTTTCCGACGTTCTTTGAACACATCATGTGTGACTAATTCTTCCGTCAGAAAAAGAAGCCAAAACGAAGCTTAAAATCGTGATATTTCATCAGAAACATTTTATTCTTCATGTTCTCATTATAAATGTCTCCTCTAATAAAGCGTTCACTTTAACCGGAGAGGGGAGGAGAGGAGAGGAGAGGCGAGGCTGAAACATGTCAATAGTTCAATGAATTTAGGACGTAAGAATAAGTAAACAAGATAAACAATGTGACCAGACATTCACTGATCTCGATACTCGGTCTCAGATCACCTCGTTCAGGTTTCTTTGTCCACACCCAGGTTCTCAATAAGTGCTCATATCAACAGCTGTTGAAGGGTTTGACTCGCCTAAATACAGAGAGGGCTGCCCCAAAATCCAGACAATGGTGGGTTCAGGTTCATCAGTCTGTTTGTGTGTTCATATCTGTGGGGGCTTCAGTCTCAGGGAGGCCACCACCACCAGCACCTGGACTCTGGGATGGATTCGGGGGGACATCACCTCCACGAGGAGCAGGAGGAAAACCTTGACGCGGTGTGGAAAGGTCTGACGGCGCTGAGCGGAGTCTACATCATGTTTCTGATCGAACACTTCCTGACGCTGGGCAAGATGTACAAGGACAAGAAACAGAAGGTCAGAGGTTGATCTTTGTTTGGTCATCACACCAGAGGTGAAGCAGTCAAAAGGACGTTTTATGACGTATTTCATGTTTAGAAGTCACAGTTCAGACCCGGGTTAGATGGTAGTTAGGGTTCCTGTTGGGGACTGAGGGAACATTTTGTCCTCTGGTAACTTTAATAAACTATTTTTATTATAAAAATAAGGAACATTTAACACTTAATGTTACACTGTTATCTTAAACATGGGGTTTAAAATTGTGCTGCTGTGGTTGTTCATCCTGCGGTATGAAATATAAAAACAAGGTGTATCTGCCGTCCAAACAGATCCAGAAGAAGTGGGATCAGAACGACAAAGCGGATCCGGAGAAGCAGCCTGCTCTGGAGGAGAACGACCTGAAGCCAGCCGAAGGTGAGACGCAACACCAAACAAACGTCCCAGAAAACCTACAATTCTTCAGCTTTTCAAAGGTTTAAAAGAAAAATACAGGTTAACCCTCTGAGCCCCAAAATATGCCGGAGATGGAACAGCAAGTTTTCTTCAAACAATCATCAAAACTACACCGTTTACCACAGCCAGCTGGACACGCCTTACTCTCTAACGCTTTAATCTCATCAGTAACTAACTTCCATACTTCCTCCAGACGTGGAGACGAATGGTGCCGGCATGTTTGGCGACCACTCCGGCAGCGTGTTGGAGGAGGAGCAGGTGATGCTTGCGCCGCAGGTGTTGGTCGTCTCGCCGCAGGGTTATGGCGGAGCAGCGGTGGACGCCGCCTACACCGCCGAGGACTGCGAGAACAAATGCCACTCCCACTTCCACGACACGGTGGGGCAGGCCGACAGCATGAACCACCACCACCACGAATACCACCACATTCTGCACCACCACCACTCCCAGAACCACCACCCACACAGCCACTCCCACTCCTACTCGGAGGAGCACTTTCAGCAGGCCGGCGTGGCCACGCTCGCCTGGATGGTCATCATGGGAGACGGACTGCACAACTTCAGCGACGGCCTGGCTATCGGTGAGTGTTGCCTCAAAGAGCTGTTGGATAGGCGACATAACGGTGCGGTCATTCTGGAAGTCCTGTTCTCAAGTCGAACATGAAAGATTGTTTTTGATATTAAATGTTACGTCTACCAAATACCAGTTCCAACAGAGAGGATTTTGTCCGTCGCCTTCGTGGTTTTTGTCCGTCGCCTTCGTGGTTTTTGTCCG